GCTGACTCGTTGATTTGCAGGATAGTGTTCAATCCACAGAGCCACAACAGCCAGGGCTTCTTTTTTTCTTTTCTTTTCTTTTTTTTAAATATTCATCAGCAATTTGACAGGGGATAGGGAAAGTTGCATTACGTCAACCTAGCAAAGCTGCTTTTTAATACCAATTGGTGTAATCCAGGCTGACACTCATTAAAGGCCAATGGGAAAAAATTTTCATTTTTCATTTTATTGAGATATGATATATAGCTCTGTGTAAGTTTAAGGTATATAGCATAATGACTTGACTTACATATATTGAAAAATGATTACCACAATAAATTTAGTTAACATCTACCACTACATGTAGTTACAAAGAATAGATGAGTTATTTTAAAGACAGGAGGACCCTGACACCACACTAGCCCAGATCTGAGAGTAAATATGATCTGTGCCTTTCAGAGACTAAGAGAGAGAGAGAGAGAGAGAGAGTGTGTGTGTGTGTGTGTGTGTGTGTGTGTGTGTGTGAGTTTCTGTGTCTGTGTACTAAGGAGGAATCAAAGGAATGTCTTCCCGAGAGACTTCTTAATTCCATAAGAAAAGCAAATCTGAGACTAGCTAAGCCTGTGCTTGGGGATATTAGGAAGGGAAGGGCCTGAATTGCCTACTTTTTTCTGAGTCTGTGCCTGTCCCTTTCTCCCCTTCCCTATCTTGATGCCATAGCTCAGAGCCTGGGTGCACTCTGTTCAAAACATAGCTTTGCCCTCTGTTGCCTCTATGATATGTCCCATCAGTGGTATCTCTGATCGTCTCCTCTTTATCTAAACTTTAACTTTGTCTTGCTCAAGAAGACTTACATATTTCATGTTTTCTTTGTTTTTATGATTATTTATTTATTTTTAGAGAGAGGGACAAGGAAGGAGAAAGAAACAAAGAGAGATCAGGCCCGCAACCCAGGCATATGCCCTGATTGGGAATCAAACCAGTGACTTTTCAGTTTGCAGATCGGCGCTCAGTCCACTGAGCCTCACCAGCCAGGGCTATTTCATGTTTTCTAAAGCACTCAGTACTAAGCACAGTGATGTTTTCCCCTACTGTTTCCTCACTACTAGAGTGTGGAATACCCTAGATTTATTGATTTATTGATCATAGTCATTCTGACTGGGGTGAGGAGATATCTCATTGTGGTTTTAAATTGCATTTGTCTGATGATTAGTGACATTGAGCACCTTTTCATATGTCTACTGTATATCTCTATGTCCTATTTGGAGAAGTGTCTATTCAGCTGTTTTGCACATTTTTAAATTGGATTGTTTGGGGGTTTTTTGGTGTTGGGTTTTATAAGTTCTTTATCAATTTTAGGTATTAACTCCTTGTCAGATGTATTGGTGAGTATGTTCTCTCATTCAGTGGGTTATATTTTCATATTTTTATGATTTCCTTTGCTGAGCAGAAACTTTTAGTTTGACGTCAGAAAGTTTTTAGTTTGATATAGTCCCAGTTGTTTATTTTTTCTTTTGTTTCCCTTGCTTGAGGAGATGTATTAGAAAAAATATTGCTAGAGCCATGTCTGAGATCTGACCACCTATGTTTTCATCTAGGATTTTATGGCTTCATGTCTAACATTTAAGACTTTAATATATTTTGAATTTATTCTTTTGTGTGATGTAAGAAAGCAGTCTAGTTTCGTTTTTCTGTATGTATCCAATTTTTCCAACACCATTTATTGAATAAACTAACTTTAGTATTGGATATATGCTTGCTTCTGTCAAATATTAATTGATTATAAAGGTGTAGGTTTATTTTTGGGCTCTCTATTCTGTTCCATTGATCTGTGTGTCTGTTTTTATGTCAGTACCATGAGGTTTGGATCACTATGGCCTTATTGATATTAGGTAGCATGATTCCTCCAACTTTATTGTACTTTATCAGGATTGCTGTTGCTAAGTGGGGCCTTTTGTGGTTCCGTATGAGTTTTTGAAATATTTGTTCTACTTCTGTGAAATACATCATTGGGATCTTGATAGGAAGTGCATTGAATCTATAGATGCTTTGGGTAGTGTGGGCATTCTCATGATGTTAATTCTTCCTATCCATGACCATGGTATGTGCTTCCACTTACTTGTATCTTCAGTTTATTTCTTCAGTGTCATAATTTGCTGTGTACAGGTCTTCTACATCCTTGTTTAGATTTATTCCTAGATATTTTATTCTTTTTGAAGCAATTATGAATGGGGCTGTTTTCTTAATTTCCTTTTCTGTTAGTTCATTATTGGCATATAAAAATGCAATTGACTTCTGAATATTAATTTTGTATCCTCTACTTTACTGAATTCATTTATCAGGCCTAATTGTTTCTTGGTGGAAGCTTTAGGGTTTTAAACTTATACACAATATCATGTCATCTGCCAAAAATGACAGTTTTATTTTTTCCTTTCCAGTTTGGGTGCCTTTTATTTTTTCTTCTTGTCTGATTGCTGTGGCTAGGACTTCTAGTACTATGAAGAATAGGAAAGGTGAAAGCAAACATCCCTGTCTTATTCCTGCTCTTAAAAGGAACATTTATAGTTTTTGCCGTTGAATATGCTGCTGGCAGTGAGTGTGTCATATATGGCCTTTATTATGTTTAGATATGTTTCCTGTATTACCACTTTGGCTAAAGTTTTTTATCATAAATGGGTGCTGGATTTTATCAAATGCTTTTTCTGCATTTGTTAATATGATAATGTGGTTTTTATCCTCCATGTTCTTTATTTGGTAAATCAATTTTGCGAATTCTGTACCAACCTTGCATCCCTGGAATAAATCCCACTTGATCAGGGTATATGATCTTTTTGATGTATTGCTGTATTCAGTTTGCTAATAATTTGTTGAGGATTTTAGTATCTATGTTCATCAGTGATACTGGCATATACTTTTCTTTTTCTTCTTGTAGTCTTATCTAGTTTTAGAATTAGGATAATCCTGGCCTCATAAAAAGAACAAACAAAGCCAAAGTGAAGAGTATACTATGATATTAACTACTTAAAAATATATAGGAAGTGTTCTAAAAAAATGATGGTTATTTTAGGTTAATAAATAATTTTTCCTTCTATTTTAAAAATCCCTTAATTATAAGTAGATGTTTCTATTATTTAAAATTAGCTTAAATATTAGTAACATTTGCTTAAAATTCCTAAACTCTTAAAAATCACATATTGTCGGCAATCCATGCTTAAATGGTACATAATTTCTCTTTGCTAATATAGTGGTGTTGGCAGACACAGTAAATTTTTTTAGCTAAGCAAATGTTAGTTGTTGCTATAGCACCTCTGAAATTACAATAAAGCTACATAACAATTGACAGGGGTACCCTTGGGTAAATGTGGAGAAAAGTCAAAGATTGATTAAGAAAAGGAAAATGTCAACTTTTCCAGCCAGTGACATACAGTGACAGGACCTCAATCCAATCTGAGATATTACTTCTTGGAAGACAGAGTACTAGTGAGAAAGACATTAATAATTAGGATGAAATCCAGTACTTGCACAGGCCAGTGAATGGGATAGAGGAAGATTTGGGAGTAGGAGGAGGTATTTAGATAAAGTAGATCCATAAACAAATATTTTTAAAAAATAAGGGTGTGTTCAGAGAGCAGAATAGTTCAAAGTGTCTTGACTATAGGGTACCTAAAACAAATAAGATGGGGAGAAGCAGGTAATCAGAGGTTAATGGAGGCTGAAGACGTTTGATTTTATTTGGAATGCAGTATAGAGAGACTTTGAAGATATACTATTGAAAAGAATGACATAACATCTGTGTTGATTCTAGAGTCCCAGTGGAATGAACTGGAAGGGAGATGAGCGGAAGACATAAATTGTGAGGTCTCCATAATAGACCAGGAAACTCATTACATGAAATTATCTAAATTAGCACTTCCAAGATATATTTTACTTTAAAATAATTTAACCACATTCTAACATAGTTTTAGATGATTTTCGGTGTCCTCTAATGCAATTGGCACATAATATCGAATCAGATTGCAGAGGATTATTTTAACTCTATGGCCAGATGCAGAGACATATGTAAAGGTACTGAAGCCAACAAATATGTTGAGAAATGCAAATTCTCATGAGTAAAAGGATTTGGAATTCTAGAAGGCAGCAGATTATCAATAGCTGTATCCAGATTCTTTGGAGTGGTGAGTTGCTTTAAATTAAAACTTTATATTAGTTTACCAGGAAGTAAAATTTTCTAAGCATAAATCGTTTTAACCTTCTAGTCAATTAGGATGTTGCTGAATAGTAATCAAAACTATAACAATGTTATACTAGTGAACAGGAGATAATTTTTTTCTGTTTCCACTGGCATAAAAGGGTTTAGGTTTTATTTTTAAAGATTTTATTTATTTTCAGAGAGAGGGGAAGGGAGGGAGAAAGACAAAGAGAGGGAGAGAAACAGGGATGTGTGAGAGAAATACGTCAATCAGTTGCTTCTCAGCACCCCCTACTGGGGACCTGGCCCGGGCCCAGGCTCGTGCCCTGACTGGGAATCAATCTTGTGATCTTTAAATTCGCAGACAGGAAAGGGTTTAGATTTTAAACCAGAATATACCAGAATCCATGTAGAAGATGGATTCAAGCCCAGTGACTTTCTGAATTGTTGTAGAAGAGCAGACATCACCTTGAGAATTGGCTGAAAATCCCGGCAGACCAGTCAGGGCACATGCCTGGGTTTCGGGCCAGGTCCCCGGTAGAGGGTGCATGAGAGGCATCCACACATTGGTGTTTCTCACCCTTTCTTCCTCCCTCCCTCCCTTTCTCTAAAAATAAACAAAACCTTAAAAAAAAAAAAATCCCGATAGATTTGGCAGTCACTAACCAAACACTCTTCACCACCAGGCTAGCAGATCCTTCATTTCAAAAGAACTCATTTTTGGGTACAGAACTACTGACACATGTGGGGACCGGACTGGGCTTTTATTTACAAACATTGAGAAAAGAGCGCCACCGGGCGAGCGCGTCCTCCCGGGGAAGCCAGCCCGGTCCCACCAGAGGGCGGGGCGGAGACGGAGGCCTCGGGCACCGCGGCGCGCGGCCTCTTCCCTCCGGGTGTCCCCGGCCGCCTTCGCTCCCAGGCCCCGCAGTCTCATTTGTCGCCTTCCAACGCGTGACCCCGGCGCGCGCGCGTCCCGGGCCGGTGACAGACGCGGGGTGCGCCGAGCGGCCCCATGTGCCCCCTCCTCCTCTCGGCCACCGCAGTTGCCGCGCCTCGAACCTCGCTCCGTCTCCTCGGCAGAGGGCTCGCCGCCATGTCTACCGCAGGGTCCCTCAAATCCGTGGACTACGAGGTGTTCGGGAGAGTGCAGGGTAGGGGACCCCACCCCCCAGTGTGGGAGACCAAAGCGGTGTTAGGGAGAAAGGGGACAAAACTGGGAGAGGACCTTCCCATCTTAAGGATCCCCTTCCCAGGAGTGGCTGGGACTTCCGCTGGGCCATGACACAGCAGGAGGGGAAGAAGGCGAAAAGCGCATGCGCCGGAGACCGTGGCTGGTGTGGGGCGGGAATGAGCGGAGACTGGGGAGGAAAAGGGGAGGGGGCAGAGAGAAGGGAGGTACTTCTGGGCATCGCGAATGGACTTACTAGTAATGGGGCAGGCAGACTGAAAGGGAAAAAATGAAGTTGGGTAGGAAAAGGAGGGTCCTTAAACTAGTTATCCTGTTACTTGCCCTAGAAAATACTAGGCTTAACCTGAGCTTCAGGAAAGACACCCATATGATGTTTCAGGGTTCACTCTGTTGGAGAGCATATGCATGCATATATATATATATAGAGAGAGAGATCTGTAACTTTTAGAAGAATTCTTAAAATGTTATCTAATTTTTGTTTCATCGTTAATTTAAATAGTTGCAAAGGATGTAATGTCTGGCTTATTGTAACTTGATATTTCCAAATTAAAATGTTAAATCACTGAAATTTATGCCAGGGAATATAAATATAGTAGTGATTTAATACTATTTCGTTTAAAATAAAGCTTTTTAACATTTGGGAAATTTAACATCATATCTTTTCCTTTTGAAATGTGATTTCCAATTCATTTTCCCCACAGTTTGATCCCACTGTTATGCTTGAGAGTGTCTCAGTGATAATCTGTCAAACTTTCTGCAATATGTATGTACAATATGTATGTGTGTATGTATACACATATATAGGTGTGATATATTTTCTTTTTTTAATTTATTTATTTATCTTTAGAGGGGAAGGGAAGGAGAAAGGGAGAGAAACATCAATGTACAGTTGCCCTTTGCTCATCCCCTGCTGGGAACTGGCCTGCAACCCAGGCATATGCCCTGACTGGGAATTGAACCGTGATTGTTTGGTTCGCAGGCCTGAGTTCAATCCACTGAGCTACACCAGCCAGTGCAATGTAATATATTTTCTTGATTTCCTTTGTCCATAAAGCTCTATTACTTTTTTCTGGCTTGAGTTAGTATTGCAATTATTATTAGAATGCAATTGATGAAAATAATGAGCACTTTTAAAAGTATAAATATTATTAAATTAAAAAGTCAATTTGTATTGAAAAATTCTTTTGTAAGGAGAAATCTTGATTAGAGGAAGCATTGAAGTATCCTTTTATTTTGGACTCTAGAGGTTTTTACGATTTGAGGCAATGTATTAGGGTAAGATTAAGGATGGATGAGATGATATCTTTTGTAGAGAGACGGATGTTTCTTTCAAGGAGTGAGTATGAGAAGGGAGGTGGAGCCGGAGGGTAGGGTGCCTTCTCAGACAGTCAGTTTTAGAAAAGAATACATATGGAAGTTGAGGATCTGGAAACCGATTCCCTTAAAATTATCCATGGTTTGCACTCTGTAGAAAGTCTTTGGGTACACCAGGAGTATGGTGCTCTGGATTGAAAACTGCTACAATATGTCACTGAAAAATATTGCACATAATATATGAAAATGGTGGCAAAGATTGACAAAATATTTGGTCCACTGGGCAGAGATGGCAGTGGTTAAGGGTGTGTGTGTGTGTGTATGCGTGTGTGACACACATATTTACTGGGAATATTCCATGTGCCAAACATCTTTTATTTATTTAATCCTTATCATAATTTTTCAACAATATATCTTACTCCCGTTTTAACAATGAAAAAACAGGTAGAGGGAGGTTCAGTAACTTGGACAAGCCCTAAACTGACAAATTGGATTTGATCCTGCATCTCTCTAACTCTGAAACTTTCACTTTTTCATTATGCAATGTTTTCTGTGAATACATAGTATGTTTATATTGATTTTAATTCTGTAATTGCACTTGTGGGTCACATGGTTTATGAAAATCAATTTTGGGCAACAGTACAAATACAGGAAAGGTAAAAGTAATATATGTAAACAGTGGCATTTAAGAAAATGAGCTTTAGGGCAATAAGTCCTGTAATTTGCAGTATGTAAAGTGAAAGAAAGTACACACATGCTATTGATTTATCAAGGCATAGTATTGCTGTCAGTGGAAATAAGGCTCTTCCATGGGATCATGTGGAAAGCATCCCAAGGACCCACAAAGGGGAGATTGTGGTGTGGCAAGATGGTTCACACCTGAGGAACTAGAAGCTGCCCCTGTGTTTCTAATTTCCTATCTCCCTCCGTCCTGCCATTAAAAAAGTTCAAACGGTCTTCAGCAAGGCCAAAACAAAAGCCAGGGTCCAGAGTCTCTGCTTTATGTGAAAGCTTAGTCATTTGGGAGCCCACAAAGAGTGGGTTCGTCTCTCAGGTCCATCTGCCACAGGCCCCAGTAGTTGCTAGACCCGCGTGGTTGCGTGCTCTTGGGCAAGAGAGAATTGGAGAATGAGCGGGTGAGTGCAGGTCCTGAGAGTGAGAGATGGAGTGGGTGCGCAAGCGCACGCTTCTTTATTACCCTGGGATTGTGTTAGCTTGGGTTCCGGATGGACCAGGTGCTTTTGCAAAAGAAACAACTTCCCAAGCTTTCTCAGGCTTTTGATAGGTTTACACCCCCTAGTTAGACTGACAGGCCTCTATGATCCAGCACCTTCCCCGACACCCCCAACACTCTGGTACCAGAGGGGGAAAGGGTGGAGCGCAAATTCCCTCGGTGGAGCAGCGCTATGATCCCCTGGGGTTGGAAGCTGTAGCTTCGTGGTTAAGCAAAGGAGGCTTATGCTCCCAGCTTATTAAGCTCGATGTCTAATTCCCTTTTGCTTCCCTCTCTTATCAATAATTAGCTAACCAACTATGGTAATAGTTGGTGGGACAAATTCTTAATCACATATTTGCACATGTATGTGTGTGTGTGTGTGTGTATAATTTGCTGAGAATTTAGGATGTGCCACGTTCTGTGCTCTATATTTTACATGCATTGTCTCACAAGTATTTAATCCTCAACCCTGTAGCCTCAACCATTTCCTCATTTAACAGGTGGAGAAATTGAGCCATAGAGAGTGACTTTCCCAGGTTATACAGTGAGTTAAATGGCAGTGCTGGGATTTGAACCTTGGTACTCTTGATACCAGAGCCCATGCTCTTCATCACTGTATCGATTCTCCTCTCAATATTCTTTCCCCCTTCCCCCTTTTACTTTTGCCTTCCTCTTGACTTACGCACTGAATACATATATACACCAGCCCAGGACATTTGGACCCAGCCACTGGGACTGTTCCTTAGATGAATGACCCTGAAGACAATTTTATGGTGCTTTTGGTTCCAAGGAAGTTTGACATGGTCAGTAAACAGCACACTTGAAACAGTGCAGCCGCTGACTGTCACTTGCTCACAATGTCTCACTATTTCTGTGCATCAGTCTGTATCGCACTGTTTTTCTGTGTGTTGCCTAAACACAAGCCATTAGTGTTTTAGCCGACTCATAATGATTGTGTAGAAATAATGTACACTGAATAGCCAAAAATGAACATTTTAATTTTAACACTATAAAATGGTTAATAATTACAGAGAACATTGTAAGATTAACTTTTAATTTAAAAGTATGGAATAATAAAATAGTGAAACTGGCTTGTTAAAATTAATGACTAAGTAAATTTATAATGGAAGAAGTTATAACTGGCAACATTTAATATGGACAAAATATGAAGTGATAAATAAAATTACCATAAAAATATTTAGATGGGAAATATTCCCAGTGAAAATGGTTTTAATGACATAAAAACAAACATGGAAATGATTTAACCCTCCTGTCCTGGAAAATTGATCAATAAATTAAATTGGCTTCATAAAATTTGTGACAAAATATTTCCCAGCTAGAACAAAGGGGTGCTGTTATATTTCCATTTAGAATGTTTGCATTTTAAACATCCTTGGTGACATAATGGCAGTTGGTATGTTCTAGGGATCAGATGCACCTGCTTTGTTCTCAGATACACACACCCTAATTTACAAACACATTGGATTCCAAGAATTAGTTTATAAGTCAGTTGTTTGAAATTCAGGAAAATACATTTATAGAAATCATATTGCAAAGAGTGGCTTCGTCTCTCAGGTCCGTCTGCAGAACCTACATTTCAAACCTTGAGATGCTGGTACTTTCTGTCGCTGCTTCTCTTTTTCTGCTTTGCTTTTAAATATTTTTCTCAATTTTAGGATACTTTTAGATTCATAGAAAAGTTGGAAAGAGTTCCTGTATACCCACATCCAGTTTCCCCGATTGTTAACATCTTATATAAGTATGATACATTTGTGAGCCAATATCGATACATCATTGTTAACTAAAGTTTATACTTTTGTACAGATTTCCTTAGTTTTTAACCTAAAGTTCTTTTTCTATTCTAGACTTCTTCCAGGATAGCACATGACAATTAGTCATCTTGTCCCCTTAGACTCCTTTAGGCTGTGACAGTTTCTCAGACTTACCTTTGTTTCCTATACGATTTTGAGAAGTACTTTGAGGTTAGGGGCTTTGTAGAATGCTCCCCAGTTGGGATTTGTCTGATATTATTGTCATGCTAAGACTAGCCTTATGGGTTATTGGGAGGAAGACCACAGAGGTAAGGTGCTACTTTCATCCCACCATATCGAAAGGACACATACTATCAGTGACTTACCACTAATGTTGTTGACCTTGATCACCTGGCTGAGATCCAGTTTGTCAGCTTTCTCCCTGTGAAGTTACTCTTTTTTTCCCTCCCTCTCCATCCTCTACTTTTTAATCTCCACATTTTTAGGAGCTCCATGTTTTTGCCCCACCAAATTCTGTTGCTTTGGGCCTTTCAGATGAGTGTCAGGGGGCCGACCACCTGTATTTTAAGAGCATTTGTAACTACGGCATGATTTGTAATGTTTTGTTACAGCTACATCTAGAATAATACATTCTGAAAGTTTGAAAGGGAAAATGGTTAA